TTATGCTTATAAAGAATGGAAGTAAGAAACCTTAGAAAATAATCTAGACAACTGTATTTTTGCATTTATTCCTTCTTAAATCTACTAGTAAAAGATTCTGTTATTTCATCGGTAATTTCAACCCTTGATAAAACCCATTCTTCATTGCTTCTTAGATAATCTCATTTTACATACCAATATTCTGAGGGTCATATTTTCCTTCATTTGCTGTGATCTTTAAATCCTTCCAAAGTAGAGAAGGAGACAAAAAATAAAAAAAAATTTAAAAAATATCCAAACAGGAAACAAGCAAATAAGAAAATGCCATACTGTGGTTAAAAGTTAAAAGAACTCAAGGTGGGTCCTAGGAGACAGGAGTTTTGGTTTTGGCTATGTCAAATTTAGTGACATTTCAGCCAGCCTGCAACATCCCTGTACCTCAGTTTTCTTAGCTGCAAAATGGAAAACGTGATTTTAAATCATATAGACCCACACTGCACTGGAAATATGAATGCATTAGTGTCCGTGAAGTATTTGGAAGATATTAATGAGTTGAAGGTATTACTTCAGAAAGCATCAAAATTATTTCTTTTTTTTTTAATGAATCAGCCTTTGCTAATTCTGTCTCTTGCTTTTATTACACTTTTCCTCTATTGTAGATAAAGATCTGTATCCTCTAGTACTAACTCTGTTTAAACAATTGTCTCCTGCATATCAATCCTAATCCTGCCATGAAAAATTATCTCATGAAATAATGTTACAAGGCAGAATACAAACAATCAGGATAGCTTTACTTCAAACTTACTACCCAGTCATTAAAATCTTACATTTAAGCTATCTTGTGTTGCAGGGAAAAAAAAACAAAACCAAAACAAACAAAAAAGAAGAAAAACCAGCAGTGAGAGCCCTCAGACCAAGGGAGCAAAGAACCCAGAAAGGCTTTCAAAATTAAGCCTGGGTTCAGCATCTCTGGGAAAGAACTCCTCTTGACAGCCTTTGTGAATAACTTCTCCAGCTCTCTGACATCTTAGAGGATCTCTTCCTTTCATCACAGCCCACTAGGGTGCCACCCATATGGGCCATGACTAGGTTTATCCTACCAGACAGCTTACTCTGACTCATTACCAGTGTCTTCTCCCACAGGCAGGCACAGCCTGGAGCTTTTCCCAGAGCCCTAAAGAGGCGCATGGGGAGAGCATGTGTCAGCATCCGGGTGATGCCTAACCCAGCTCTGCTCCTGCGCTGGCCAGCGTGGGCAGAGGTGTTTCCTGCATCTCTCTGCCCATCAGCCACAGGGAGGATGCTTCTGTCCCTTGCTCCTGGTCAGGGTGCAGTGCTCTGAACACCACAGCAATAGGCCTTATGGACCACAGTGGCTACAAGCACCTTAGGTCACTGGCTGGGACAATAAACAGCAACAGCTTCAGGGCTGGCAGTCTGGGATATGCTTGCTGCTAGTACCTAAAGTTTCTCTACTGGCTGGAGAATTACAAATCCTAAAGACCTGACATTTTATTTTTTTTATTAATGTATTTTAATGAACTTATCTATGCTTCCTTTTAACCTCCAAAGCTCTTCCCCACAAATATATTTCCCCCACCTTCCATGATTTCAGGGGTAAATGAAGAACCCAATACCTTTAGTGGGACTCCTGCTACTGATTTTGGTTTCAAAGTCCTCAGTCTTTGCCTATATGAATTCAGTTCTATTTAAAAGGATTAGGTAATCTTAAGAGTTACCTCTGCTATTTTAAACTACGCTAATTTGATCATATTATTCTATGGTTTAGAGGTTCAGAATCAAACATCTACAGTCAAAGATGACTCAGACTACTCAATCCTTTCTGGATTTCTTTTTTCTCTTTTGGAAAAGAAACCCTTTCACAACCTTCTTTATCACCTTTTTGGCAGTTCTGATTTATCCAACCAGATATCAGAGACTTTCAAAGTTGTATGACCACCTGGAGAATTGGACGACCAAACCTATTTCAGTGGGGAATCTAAACTGGTTACATGTACTGCTTACATTAGGACTTTCCCCTCTTATGCCACAAACAGTCTGCCAGTGAATGAAGGTACATACTAGCCTTGAGACAAAACCACTCACATTAAGTACATTTAAATCAGTGCTTCCTCCAGGAAACCAAGTGTTGTATTATTTACAAGCAGATTTTATTATGGTTAAGAGAACTGTTTAAACCCATTTAGCAGATCAGACGAAAACAGATTTAAACTGATGTGCTCATTGTTGTAACAAACACTAGTTAGTATCTGATACAAAGATCAACATGCTTGATGATTTCCACATAAAAAGTTTAGTGAAAACACAGGCTGTAGTAAAGACAGAAACATCAGATCTCACCATTTTCTCAAAATATCTTCAGATTTTAGATTTTAAATTGAGGCTAAAATAGTATTACCTTAACATTTCTAAAATAAAATAAAGTTCATGAAAGCAATACCATGAATAAACTCTCAATACCATGCTGCCTCTCTCTTCAAGGCCATAACAGTACTCAGTAATATCATCATCAAGAACACACCTAAGACCCTTTGAGAAAATCACAGCATCAGAAATATCTTTATGCACGTCTCTCTACTGCAGCATCCAGTAAACATGCAGATTCATACAATGGCATGCAAACAGCCTAGCAAAGAAATGGTTGGACAAAGAATAATTTCAAAGCAATTCCAATAATCCCTTTAGATCATTCTGTTTGTGAGAAGTATTCTACTGGAAAGCTGGACTAGTATCTCCTCAGAAGTTACGGTTGATCTGACTTAAGCCAAAGGAACCTGCAAACTGCAAGGAGGAAGTTGCTAGATAAAATCCCATGGAACTGAAGGCTCAGGATAACAATCAGTTGGATCTCCTTTATTTTCCAGAAACCATTATTTTACCTTTAATTTCGAAGGGTCTTTGGGGGAAAAGATTGAAGGAAATATAGTTCATTTTACCAAAGCACATATTGCAAAAAATAAATTTAAAACTCTATTTTTGGCCTAGAATGGTTGAATAAATCCCTGATTAGCCTCTTAATGGGGTGAGTCCAATTTAGTGAGAATGATCACCAGAGGGAGTCATTGACTTTCCCATTAAAGTCAAAGGGAATTTTACATACATCAGGAGTGTAGAATTAGGGGGCAGAGCTGAGAAAGACTCCAAACAGATTGGAGTTCAGGGACTAACACAAAACACCATTTTCTGGATTTCATCTGAATCAGTTTTCCCCTTTGGAGTCCCAAAGGATGACTGCTATATTCCACTGTGAAAGTTAGAGAGAAGGCACTGAAGTAATTCATTCAGTGGGTACACACTCCCACAAAAAAAAAAAAATCCCAGCACTTAATTGATTTTAAAGTGGTGCAAATACTAACTGCTCAGTTTTCTCTTTGGGTATGCAACATATCACAGTCCTTCTAGAAAAGCAGTTTTTAAAAGCCCAAAGAAAATCTCCAAGTGCCATATATGAGAGTGTATCATACCTCTTGGGAATATCAGGACTTCCAACATGAAAATAAAAGAGTGAAAAGGAGACAGGAAGAATTCAATGTTAGTGACTAATAGAGGAAGTGAGAATAGGGATTTGTGAACCAAGTGATAAAATGAACTAAGTACATGAAGCAGTCTACTCAGCCATAAGGAAGTGTGTATTTCATGCTCAAACACCTAAATTTCATGACCTTCAAAGAAATCTTTTCATGCTAAGAACTGGGCTTTTCCCTGCTGGACTTTTGTGTTCTTGCCACAAAAGCCTAGCAGACTTCAGTTTGAAAACAAGATCATTCACTAGGCAACTTTCCCCTTAATTTTGTACAATAAAATTATTCAGCAGAAAATTAGGAGATTAAGGAAAGGCATGGAAATAACCCCACCCAACCAAATGCAATTTCACCTCCCCAGAAATATCCTCTGAACAAATGGAATTCAATTTGTTTCTGTGTTCCCAGGTAACAGCGGCACCTTGTTTTGCTTGTTTATTTAATTACTTTTTCTTGTTCATGCAATTAGCTAACAGACTGCAGCCTTTTGTTCATTGTAACACAGTTATTTGCATAGTGTTCTCCATTTTGAGGCTGAATTTTTGATAGAGGCTCTATTTTGGGCTGTGGCAGGCAGAGAACCATTGGGAAGCCTCACAGGGCAGCATGCAGCAACCTGCTCCTTCATGGAGTGAGTCGCTCCAGGAACCGCACTGGCTGCCCATCTGCTTCTCACAGCAAATCAAAGCCTTATTTCCAATATACACTGCAAAGCACAGCTTGGCTTAAGACCTGTCTGTATTTCATCATACGCAGCACCAAAAAACAGCTGAGTTCATCCTTAAGCATTTTCAGCAACAGGCTGTCCAAGCTTAACTTTATTGCCATTTATAACTGTTCAAGACATCATGCTTGCCAGTGTATGTTTGACTTGAAATTAACAGTACTCTTTTTCTGTTGGGGTGAAAAACATTGGAGATGAAGGCTTTCTTTTATGAACAGCTTGATTTAGCATCCAGTTGAGTCTAGTGCTGTTGCGATGCTGAACTAAATTGTTGCATTGTTAAATCTTTTTTTAAACACTCAAGATATATCCCCAGATCACAAAGTTTAGCAGAATGCTGACCCTCTCCACTAATAAATGCAGCAATTACTGTCCTCCAAGTCCTCCAAGTTTCTGGCAGTGAACTGATGTCAGCTTGTTTTTATCTAGGTTGCTCAGAAATTGAGGAATCTGCACCTTCTTACAGAAATGAGAGGCAGAGTCAGTGCTGGTGGGAGTCTGCATACTCTGGTACACTGAAGGCACCTTCATCTCAGCCTCCATCTAAACACCCCCAAAACTCTGCCTCTCAGGAGAAACCACACACCAACTTACACTATTTGAACTATGGAGAACTGGAACAGACAGCTTGGAAAAATTGTTAATCTTTGTAGTTTACAGTTCACCCTTCACATATGACCCACAGCTAGGGCTAGGTTTAGCTGTAAGCAATTGCAGCAAGGCGCAGCCTCTTAATGGCATCGTTTTAATCCTACCTGTGCCATCTGCCTCTCCAGCTTTGACCGGGGAATATCATCAAAATAGTTTTCATTTCTTCTTCTCCTTGCATCACCCTGCATGATAATGTGGGGAACGTCCAGGGAGCCACCAGTAGTGAACGTGCTTTGGCTAAGTGATGGAGACAACTGAGGAGGAGTGTGGTTACCACTGGGTTCCTGGGCAGAGAGGAGAAAAATGCAGTGTAACAGCATACTGGTGACTTCAAACCACACATTTAAAAGTGTATTTATTTGAATGATTCTTACTAAAAAAATTAAGGAGCAATATCTGAAATAGAGGTTACCATGGATGGACTTCTGAGTTTTCCTACCTAATGTGCAGAGCCCATGTGGAAGGAAAAATAATTCACGATTTACATCAACTAGTGGCAAATTTCCTCTCTAAAGCCTCCCTGTGTAATACATTCTCCCTTCTAGGCCTGCTAGATAGATAAAACAGTGAGTTACTTTTTGTCAAGGCCCAAATAAAGCCTTGATTTAGCACTAGCTATTTGTAAGATGAAATACATTCTCACCACTTTTGAGCAGCCACTCTGAGCGGTGAAAGTGATTTGAAAGTGATTTGAACTCTAGCAACATCTCTGGCTGGAAAAAAAGCAATGCATGAATGTTTACAAAATAGAGACACTTCGTTTGCCATTTTTATAGGTCTTGCAGAACACTCATTTAACTTGAAGTACTGGGTATCAGAAACAAGCTAAATAACAATTCCTAGAATGCATGAAAGCTGCAGAGTACAAACATTTTACAAGGCTTTTCTTGTAATCTGTGCTGAACTGTGACCTTCTATCAGGCAGTGTGCAAATACCACAGTGAAATGATACATGAATTCTACGTAATAAACAGCTAAACATGTCCTCCTGATCATACTTGTTACGAGCATCTGCCACCACTCCGCTCACATCCAGCCACAGTATGTATGTTTGGCAACACTTACTCTCGTGCACATCACATCAGTTGTTCAAACACCAATTACAAACATTGGTGCCTGGCTCCACTGTCTTGGAGACTGCAATCAGCAGGAGCAGAGCTATGGTGAACTGGCCAGCCAGTCTACATGCATGCCACCCCAGTGCAGACTGTAAAACACTGTCATTGCAACTGCACAGGGAATCAGTTTTCTCTCATAGAATCACTGAATGATTAAGGCTGGAAAGGACCTTAAGATCATCTAGTTCCAATCCCACTGGGCTCAATTTATCTGACACTAGATTTCTCTGATAGTAAGTTCTTTGGAGGCAGAATGCACCCAGGAGTGTGTTTGCAAAGTGCAGAACTTGTATAAATTACCTACTGCTGTAATACTGTATTTCAACACTGAACAACATGAAAGGACCTGAAGATACTAGAGTACGAAAAGACCTGCTCCAGTGTGGACGGAGGGTATAAAGACCTGCCTTTAAAGAAAGAATTAAAGTGGATATTTCATGCATTATTACCTTGGAGCAAACCTAATTGTGAAAAGCATCAAGGTACTTTACTCCATGCTGTTAAGAAACAAGATCTGGTGTAAGAAACCAGAGAGCTGTGATGTCTTTCAAATGGAAAGGGAAGTTGCAGTTCGCTGCATGTGTTCAAGTGATAGTAACATCTGATGTTAATATTTGAAGTGTAGGAGTCTATGTGACATTATTCCTTACAATCACAGTAATGCATCTGAATTTATCATTTGGTTAACTAAAATCAGGGATATATAGTTGTTTAGCAACTTTCAATTAACTGTTGTGGGTGGGTTTTGCTGTGTTGGGGTTTTTGTTGTGGGGTTTTTTTGTTTTTTTTTGGTGGTTGTTGTTTTGGGGTTTTTTTAATTTCTAAATTCTCTAGCTTTTGTATAATCTGAGACAAGCACTTGACACTTCCCAGGGCAAAAAAAGGAGTGTTTTCCTCTTAGGAATAGTCTTTTTCCCTCCTTCACAAAAATCCACCTACATTTGGCCCAGTTAAAAGCTTCTGAAAAGCTGTCATCTGCACATGCTCAGCAGGTTTGGTGAGGCACAACATCTAAAACCTACCCTCCACAGGCCGGACTAGATGGTGCACATGCTTCTGCCCTGAAAATAACCTGAGTACAGAGGCTCCAAATGAGATCTTTTATAATGACTGTTATCTACTGCTCCAACCAGGTAGGTAACCTCTCTCCGCTCTGAATCATGATTCACCCACTATGAGTAGACTGATAAGAGTCACCAATGCATCAAAGTTACAAATGACCGTGCAATGAATGGACATACAGGTTCCAGCTCTCATCGAGCTTTTCATATTTTATCAAACTGCATGTAAAGAGGAAATTCACTCAGAGATCTATATTGGAAGATTGCTGGCAAGGCAATACAGATAAGAATTACAAAGTCAAGAAATAAAAGAATTACAGTGCCTCTGCATTATGGAACAGTATGTAATTTTATGATTTTATGCTATTTTCTCAAAGTCGTCCTTCACAGCACAGATGGATCCTCAACTGTGCAGCATGTTGTCATATAGTCAGCACTGTGTTATCATTAGTTATTGTGTAGTATTTTATTCTCACCTCGTTTCATGGCCCCAAGCCCCTTCCCTAAACTCTATTCAACCCCTGTTCTGAAGATAGGATGACTAATATCGTCATGTTCGTGATACTCATAGTGCTTTACAAATGTCAATCAATTTATTTTCACCGCACCCTCTGACTTCTGGCATTTCTAATTACCACTTTTGTGTGGGGGACCCAAGACACACAGCCAAAGGTTAAAAAATATAAGTCACTTCGGATGCCCGATTACAATATCTATTGCCTGGTTTTCCAAGTGCTTGTATTCAAAACTTTGCTTCTATTGACCTAATCTGCAGGACTGTGTGCTCAGCACTTGTATAAATCAGACTCTAGACTCCAGTCAAATATGTAGAATGTTGGTAATGTACAGTTAGTGACTGTTTATGAGGCAATTACCTAAATAACTTACTAAGTGTTATCCAGGGGCTTTGTAGCAAAAGCAGGTGTAAATCTGTATTTTCACAGGTACAGCTATTCCTTTAATCATGAGTCTCTCTCCCATTCTTCCCTCATTCCACTTCCTCACTCCATGCCCACTTTCTCATCTCCTTAACAAATCAGCAGACCAGGAATGGATGCCTGTGCAGGTGCTATCATGGCCTCAGTACCGTCCTACTGTTAGTCACCAGATAATCATATCATGTTTCCATCCTGTCGCAAATGCACAGGCACATGCTCTGCAAGATGCCTGACCATATATTTAACTATTAAAACCTGCTTCATTTTCACCTCTCAGTCCTGCTAGTCATGTAAAGCTGGAACTACATAGGTCAGAACTGGAGGGGAGCTTAAGAAATCCTTCCCCAGGCTGCAAGATTGTATAGGTAACCCAAGACCCAGCATTTTCTAACTTTGAGTATATGACTTTGAAGTAAAAATAACTTTTCTTTCGTACACAGTTATTGTGGGAATAACATATTTTGTGGATATTTATAATCTTTGTTGCTTTTCCTCAATATTTGATAATTTTTTCCTCTAAAATATTTTAAAGAGTCAAAAAAGATGAAGTGCTTTAGGTTGATCTTGAGACCTTAAAAGCAGACATTTTAAACAACAAATGATCTTCTTCTACTGCTCTAGTGAAAGTTGTCTCTGCCCGTGGCAGGGGAACTGGACCTAGATGATCTTTAAAATCTCTTTCAATCTGAACCGTTCTATGATTTATTATAAATCAATCTTCTATTTGAAGCATCAGACAGTTTATTTAAACCAATTTTCAAGCTAAAAATTACTGCAAACTACAGATTAAATACTATTGCTTTGTTTTGTGTGAAATGGCAAAGTAGCAGTTGATGGGAAAGAAAACCTTAATCCAAATCCATGTCCTCCTCTTTAGGATTCTCTGTAAAGACTCCAATACCATGAGGTGATGAATGACATTTAGCGCTTGCCCGCATCAGTAGCCCTAGCAGTGGAGCAGCAGAATACTTTTTATCTTTTTGACTACAGATGGAGGAAATTCGTTTTCCTTTTCACTATTAACTGATAATATACAGTGCCAACCAATAATAGCATGAGCTGTGGAAACTTTCCCACCTGCTGAAGAGGAACTAATTCCCCAGTCCAAAGCACTGAAAGTACTGAGCAAAAATGTGCAATTTCCAAATGACTCCTCTTTCCTGGGAGTGTTTTAACACCTGCCATGCATCAGGAATTATTCACATAACACATAAAATACAAGGAAAACATCCACATTAGCGCAAAGTGCCTGAGAGCAGAATGCTACAGTTTTGCGAGACCTTTTTCAAAATGGCATTAGGAATAGGCTGAATTTGGGGCAGGGGATCTAAAACATCTTTATGTGACATCTCAGAATACGCAGGGTGAAAACAATCTGGTCACAGAAATTAGAAGCGTATGTAAAAATAAGCCCTCATTCTGTCTTTCTCTATTTCTCTTTATACCAGGAAATATTACTTGGGAGCACGGACACTCTGACATTTTGAAATTTAGTCCCAAATGAGATTCCAGTCAGAAATGCCAGCCCCATGAAAATAATCAGATCCAATCAAATGCAAAAGGTTTGACCTAAATTATCAAAATAAAAACTGATGATATGAACTCCCTTGGCGAGAACAAAGGTTCATCAGAACACAACTCAGGGTAACAGACAGTAAAGAGACAAAGGCACTGGATAGGAGAAACCCAGTGTTTGTGGTGTAACAAGAGAAGGTTAAATCTGGTGAAGTGCGGAAAAATCACAGGGATATTGCAACAATGTTTCTAAAAGAGGGAATACAAATGAAAATTAAAAACAACATGAAACTCCATACACAGGAACATCTTAATGACATTTGTATCTCAGCAACTTCAAGAAGCTCTCCTTAAAGAAAGCATGAACTGTATGTCTGAAAAGTAAGTGTAAGCGTTTGGAAACATGAAAAGAAAATGGTAACTCTCCTCCTGCAATATTGATCAGGTGGGCTGGGATGCCTGGGGACAAATGTAGATGTGCAGCTTGCACACACCTAGTCCTGAGCTAATTTCTTAAGCAGAAAAGGTAAGTGGGGACTTCTAAGACACTACTTATTTCATCCTAAGGTAGACATCTGAAACAAGTCAGGTGAATCACACTGTACAAATGACAACTTATCTCCGTTGGCTATATGCAGCGACTGAATAGGTCAGCCTAAGGTGTCTACACTGTAAGCTTCAGAGATGAAGTAAGCTGAAGCCCACCCAAAGTAGCTGTTGTTTTCACGTGACTTGTGAAATGCTTGCTGACTTTTTGAGAAATGCAAACAAATTTTCCAGGGGACTCACCCTGAGGGTTATTGACCGAGGTGGTTTCTGAGGAGGATCTTCGTGAAGCCTGTCTCCCAAAGATGCCAGAACGCGCTTCCGGTGGCCAATCAAGCTAATTTTTAAGACCTGAAATAATAACAAAAAATACCTTGTTAAAAAGAACACATTGTAATCATTAAATGAAGACCTATTCAGAGTGAAGCCATTTTCTTCTTAACCTTTTTAACAAGTTAGTCCACTACACAGGCTAAGCAGACAGAGAGCAGGGCAAGGCAGTCAGCTGAGAAAACGAGAGGCAAGATCAGAGGAAAAACCCTGCAGAATGAAGGAAGAAACCAAAGCAGGTATAGATGAGGAAAACTGGAAAAAAAAATAATCAAAAATTAATAAAGAGGAAAGGAAAATGAAACAGGAAGAGAAGGCAGCAGAGATGGAGCAAAAACAAGGGAGAGGGAGAAAGAGACTGGAGAAGGAAATGCAGAGGTGCAGGCAAACACTGAATGATGAGGGTTAAGAGGATTCACAGGATAGATGAGAAAGGGAGTGAGTAATAGCCAGCAAATGCTTAGAGAAGGCAAGAAGGGAGAAAAGGAAACTCACAGTGAATAAATGTTAGCACTTTAAATTCAATTCACCATGCCTTTCACAGGTAATCTCTGAATGACACATACAGTTTGAATTATCATGTAGAATCATCCTTGCATAAGAAACACAGGATGTACAAACTTCGTCCTGGAGGTGTATTACTTTTATCAGATGCAAGGAAAAAAAATCTCTGTTGCACGCAAATGTGACTGTCAGTGGACAGATTCAAATACACTGTGCTTGTCCAGACTCCAAGAATACCAAAAAAAAAGGTGTACTGAATTTACTGCAACCACTCCCCACTTGTATCTCTCTGTGTCCCTGCCACATACAAAACCACAACTGCTCTCAGGAAAAGAGAGAGGGCAGAAGCAGCAAGTTGTAAAATCAAACATTAATGGAAAAAAAAAAAAATCATATTTTGTTGCTATTGTTTCATGGTTACAATGCCCTAATTGTAGAAGCAAACCTCTGCTCTGCAGAATCATGTCCTCATGTAACTCTTCCAGACTGTATATATGGTTTCATACACCAGAGCTGCCTCCATTCCCACTCAGAAGACAGTACTTCCCACTATATTTAGGACCACCATGTGTCAACACCCTTCAGTAGAGAGGAATTTCTCACTCAACCTAGAAAAAGTAATATTCTCCAAAAAGCCCTGAAAATGCTCTTTAAGTGAACAATTATCTCAGTTTAAGCAGTACCACTAAGAGCTACCACTCATGAGAATAAACAGAACCTAAACCCCAACAACTCCTCTATGACATCTCTTAGATCCACTATCTCAGGATACAGCGGAGCAACATGCTGTCATTATTATGGTGGGTGAACTCCTGCCCATCCACAGGCATGTGAATTGGTCCACACTTCCTCTGTTGGATGCTTCTGTATTGTCTGATATTGTTGAACATAAAGAACATCTTGTCTGCCTGCATCTATTAAGTAATGGGCTATGACATGGAAGAGACTGAGGCCTTCCTTGGAGAGGCAGCTTACTGGGCTGTTGCAGACCCAAGCCGCAGAGTCCCACAAGCCTGCTGTGTGCTTCCTTATTAGTCTAAATCTGGAGAAGCACAAGTGAAGCTGAGACAGCACAGCACACACAAAAATGCCAGAGGCATGCAGGAGACAGTTATGTGTTTAGTTTACATTGAATGTTAAACAGAAGGGTGCACAGTTTGTCTCCGTATTTAACTATATGAAACACAGGAATGAGCTACAGCCGCTTTAAGCGTTACTCAGGTAATTCACTTCAATGAACTTGCTTATTTCTCTGTCCTTCCCAATCATCAAGAACATTTATCCAGAGATTTTTAAGTCAAGCTATAGTTCTCACGTTGTTTCAAGCTCCTTGATGCTCTGACTGCCTTATTAGCTGTATCAACCACACAAAGCAATTCTCTTTGACTTAACAGCTGTTGAACAGGAGAGAAAAGGACAGAAGAGGGACTTGGCACATAGGAGGTCAGCAGATGGGTCTAAACGGCTATTTTATTTCAAAAACTGTGCTCAATTTGAAAGCAATACAGATCTTTAAACACCATAAGCACTGCTAAGCTTATTTGACATTTAGTTTTTCCGTTAAAATAGTGGTCACCCTAAATCAGAAGTGGTAGGGATTTAAAGATGCAACCTACAGAAACATATGGTCCTCAGCCAAAAGGCAGCTGTAGCCCAGTCCCATCTGCACCACATATTCTTGTTAACTGAGGACGGCTGTATTCTTCTGGAAATGGACCCCATAGTAATTTTCTTACTTAGAAAACCTGTTTCACAACTTAGAAATATAAAATACTGTTTTCTGAAACACTTCTATATTTTAGTTATCAGAGTTTAACAAACACCCTGAAACTCTGAAAACTTGTTCCGTGATGGATTACCCTTGACAGTATTTATGCAAAATGTCAAATATCACAAATATAGGTCAACAGAGTGCAATGGTAAAGTTGCCTAAAGCAGTATCTTAGAAATATCATAGTGCTGTGTATCAGGTAACTATTACAAGTCTTGCACTTCTTTAGCCCACAGGTTACAGCCCCAGGAATATTTTCTACATACCTGATAACAGTGAACACAACACTGAACTATACCGACAGCCAATACAGTGCACTTGTGCTTCATAGTGAAGCATTTTGTCAAATGGGTTGTAGCCTACTCAATATATGACAGTGAAATGAGCTTTGCAGTGTTGCTGCAGGAATCAGCTACATGTCAAGAAACTATTCAGTGTAGCCTAAGGCCCTCCACAACCTGTGATTCTGTTACTGGGACAAAAAAAAAAAAGGCATTTACATGACATGCCACTTTCCACACCAACAATAGGATACCTGAGACAAAAATAATACAACTCCATCACATATATTCACTTACATTTGGTTCTGTAATAAATTAAAGCAGAATAGGGCAAGTCATTTGTCCAAAGAAATTACACACGTTCACAAACCTAATAATATTTTTACATCCATATTCTCCAGTTATTAGCATACAAAATGAAATTCCACTAGGAAATGTAAGGAATCCACAAATGTAACCAATTTTACACTTGGCATTTAGGTTTCTTAGTTGACAGATATTCTAAAAAACAAACACATGTAGTCCAGTAAGTCCCTGATGACCGTGTATGTGCAGATGCTGGAATTAAAAAGTTATTCCATCTAAAACTAAGCATTATTTCTGCAACATTCTTCTGCCTGATCTTTTCTTGTGATTGAACAATATGATCCAATACCGTATTTTTATAATTTTTTCACTCCCTCCCCTCCTTCCCCCTTTAAAATCAGTATTCTAAAGATTACTGAAATTCAAGTTATAAATTTTCTTTCTTTTGTGATAACCTGAAAAGTTAACTGTATGGGCTAACGGAAGAACTATAACAGTGCAAGTGGTCTGGACTAAACATGTAGCAGCCATCAGACACTGGGAATTAGCCACAAACTAGAGAGTGATCAAAATAGTACTAATGATTCTCTGGTAGCAGCATCAGACAATTCAGAATTTAAGAAGGAAAAAAATAGCAAATACATGCCAACAAGGTGCGATCTTCCTATTTCTCCAAGCAAAGAGCTCAAAAGGCTAGCTAAATTCAATTTTATTAACCATCTTACTGCTGGTCATATAGGAATAAATTCCAGGCTATCTGGAACTGTGCGTGAAGGATATACTGATTAGTCCTACTTTGCTGCCACAATGACACCTCATAGGGCTTTATCCTAAAGCACAGCACTGCCCAGAATACACAGGAAGTGAGCCCACACCAACCACTGCACCTCACCTGATCATCAGAGTTGGTGTCAGTAAAAATTTGAAAAACGATTAAATACACTTGTTATATAAATTCCCAGCATGGACAACTGTTCAAAATGTTTACAAATACTATCCACAGAACTGCTGTCAGTGATTAACAATTAAAAAAAAACTAACCAAGCAAAAAAAGGCAAAAAAAAACCCTATGCCCCACATACTGACCAAGATTACATACTGTAATAATTGGGATATTTTGAAAGATAAATATGCCTGAGTCAGCTGTGATATTGAATGCCCAGTGGCTTACCAGACACAGCCAAATCCAGTCCAAACCATATTAAACATCTGTTGAATTTTTCACATACAGATGCTTTATGCTCTTTCTCATCCTGACTGCAGCTACTGATTCCTTCCAACCCTAAATTATCACAAACCGTTGCCATTTTTATCAGGCCAGGGATTTTCCTACAAAGCCCTGACTTCGCAGCAAAGCACAGGCACAGGAAAACAGAGAGGCGCCAAAGGACCCTGCAGGTCAGAGACTTGCTCCAACTGTGCTAGATGCAAGACTTTCCTGGTTTCCTCAACTGCAGTGGAACCAATTGTTTCTTATGCCTACAAAGAGTCTTGCAAGAGACTTACAATTTCATATCATAATGATATGAAATATGCACCATTATTGCCCTGAATTAATTACCCAACTGGAAACAGATGTCTGTTGTCTTGATGACAGCATTTCACAAAGACAGTTGTTGCACGCAATCTTTTCGATTCTCCTCTCCGTCCCTCTGGGAGTAGGGGCAGGGCAAGAAGGGGGGAAGTGAGTGAACAAGCTGGCTGGCTGGGTTTGGATCACCACAGTGCTTTTTGGCACCCAGTGTGGGGCACGAGGTGTTGAGATAACAACAGATCTGACCAGATTAATAGTCACTCGTCACAATGCTGATTTATTGGCTCTCAGAGTTGTTCCTCTTGATCTCACAGTTTCAGAATGCAGTACATTACTTAGAGCCGGTATTTGCTGTGTTAGTGTTTATCAAGTGTGGGGCCTGGGCTAAGGCTCTTGTCTCACCGTACTTTATGGCAATGACTTGTAATACGGGCGGGCTCCAGCAGCAAGGCGAGACGGACGTGGCCGTCCGGCTGCTCTTCACTGTCCGGGCCCTCGTCCTCGCCTCCGTCTTCGTGAGGCCGCGGGGAGCCGAGGGGGGGGCAGCCCCGAGAGCCGGCGGCTGCTGAAGCGGCCCGGGAGAGCGGCCCCGGGGACCAAGCGGCGGCGGGAGGGGGGCCCGAGG